ATATATATAATTTAAAACATTTTTAGGCAGGATAACATATACAGGCGAGATCTTACCGCTGTTTTACAATATGGTCCTGCAAACACATAATACAATAACAACAACAAAAAGTAACCAGCACAGTACAATAAAATAAACAATAGTAAAAACTTTGGTTGAAGACTATCCCCCGCCGGACACCAACCCGGTACTTCTGAGTCAAGGTTTCGGGACCAGGAATTACGGCTCAAGGTTAAGCTTAACTACAACTTAACTACAGTATGGTAAAAACTATCCCCCGTCGGACACAAATTAAAAATATCAAACATGTATTTTGTACACTCACCTAAAACCGTGACAGTGAAAATACACGTGCCTACTAACGCCTGAGGATCCACGGCAACATACCGGACCTCAGTTTCTCCAATTATAAATACATTATCAGCAAGTAATTGCGGGGTATAGACGGTTGTTACAGCAATTTCATTTAATAGTGTATCGTCATCTGATAATGTTGGCTCTGTCCAAATGACTGTAGCATTGTTTGAACCGGTGGTCGTATTTACTTCCATATTCATGGGACAATTAGACCATACAGGAGCAGCTAAAAAGAAAAAAAAAGTTTCATTGGAAAATTCAAAGCATTGTAATGTTAAGTAGGCCTAATCATTCGACTTATGGTAAAACAATCATGCATGAGATACAATTAAGTGTACATTATTCATCCAATCACACAATGCGTCTGTGAAATAATTTAATAATTAATATTAGGCATACTTGAAAATAGTATACCATTGTAAAGTATAATAGTATAGTATTACTGTATGGGAAAGTGTAGTATGGTATGGTATAGTGTAATGAAATATTACAGTTGATGAAGGAATTTATTTATTCATTTATTCAGAATCGGTAACAATACAATATAAAGTACAATAAAACAAATGTTATCAAGGAAACTGGACCAGGTGAGGTTCTACCTATACAAATTCAAAGTCTCCCTAAACATGAAGAATAAAATGTAAAAAAACGAACCATGAAATGCGACGACAATGAAACAATGAAAACAAAACTATCAAGAGCAAATATAAAAAATAACCAGTCAAAAAAAACAAAAACAAAAACATAAAAAAAACAAAAAACAAAAAACATAAAAAAAAAAAAACAAAAAAAAAAACAAAAAAAAAACATGTTGTGCTGCTGTGGAAAATCGAACCTGTGATCTTCGGAAACCATTTTAAGAACTGACATTTGGGCACGTCCCTAATCTTATACGGTACTGCTCAGAGTTTCTGATCGGTTGCGCAGGCTTTACGATCCGAAAAGTTGGATTCGGTGTGAAGGTACCTAAAATGGTCCATTTATAGCATACTAATAGTCCATGTCTCGTCATGACAGCACAGCAGTAGCGGAGGTTATTAACACATTTTCCTAAAAATTAGCCTATCATTGATTATTCTTTGTCTGTTCTCTTTAGATGATTCAAAACACTGAGTTTTTAAACTTCACTGTCAAATTATCCAAACCATGACAATAAATATATCTTAGAATGTGGGTGCAACACCAACAAAAAAGTTTAGAACGTTTCATGGCTATTTCTTTGGGAAAGGAGGTGGGGGAAGTTATGAAAAGTAATATTAAAAAATAGTCTTACAAGTGATGGTAATAATAATTTTGCTAAAATTCAATATAAAAAATATATAATTTTAAGCTAACAGATATGCCTACTAAAATGTTAATTATTGTTATATAAGATGGAGACAAAGGGGCGCATCTGCAGATTTCAAAAATATACCTAATACTGCCCTGTGCATGCGGCAATATTGAGAACAACAAGGTCAATCCATATTTTCTCTGGTTTAAATACACGTTTTCACATGTAATGATTGATTTGGACGTTTCATATCAATAAGGTAGTGCCATTATCTCATAGGTTATGCCGTTGCATAGATTATTGATTGTGTAATATAGGAGGGATGTGGAATAGTTCCGATAAAATATTGAAAGCGATTGGTACCTAAATTTACTATACCCTAATGTAAATAATGGATGTAGTAACAGTATTAAAACTAATATTAGTAATAATACCGTTCCTGTGAAGAGTTTCATTCATCCAATAAAAATTTAAATGTTATGCCTATATGATTTAATTTTAATGCTATTAAATTAAATTTTATTCATTTTATTGTAGATAAAAGCTGAATAAAGGCCTTCATTCAGCTTTCATCTACATTGTTTATTCAAAATTAAGTATCTTTATATACCGCCTTTAATTATGTTCTATTGTTATTTTAATTTGTAACCAATACCATTTCCTTATACTTGCTTTACTTTTTATTTTTTGTCGGTTGTCCTCACACTGAGGAAGAACACATGAGTGTTTGAAATATTTGTGATTTACCTCTAGTATGTTTACAACTCATAGCTGTTTTTTATTTGTCTCTTATACACATCTCTAATTAAATATTGTTTAAGCATAGAGAAATTAATTAAAGTTTACTGAATAAAAGGCTTGCGTTTAATATCACAACATCCGTATAGAAAATTTCGAGAAATTAAAAATAATCTAGAAACTCCTACTAGCCGAAAGTTAGCTGGCACTCAATGGTTTACTTACATTTACATACATACATACACATATACATACGCACATACATACATACATACATACATACATACATACATACATACATACATACATACATACATACACACATACATACATACATACATACATACATACATACATACATACATACATACATACATACATACAATTATGTCATCATCAGGAATGAAAAATTATCCATATTTGCAAGCTTATATGCACAAGTACCAAAAGTGATTGACCAATGAAAACATTACCCCTAGTAGTAGGTGACGTAGTTATGAATAAACTAAATATCAAAGCATTTTTACCCTACTGATCAAAGCTACCTACAAAAATGAAGAAAGCTCCTTTGAAGCTTTCAGCCCATTGTTAAGCAATTGGTGTAGCTACGTATAGCAAACGCTTCTTTAAACAATATTATAGACCAATTTTGCGAATTTGTTGCTATTTAATACAAGTAAAATAGAATTCATAATTTCAATAGCCAACTAACTAATCAAGTCAGATACTTTTCATTTACACATATCACTCATTAGGAGATATCTATCGAAACGAATTACTGCGTCGATCATTCACGCATTCTCTTTTCTTGATTATTGCAATTATTCCCAAATTTTATATCAAGATTTTACAACTCAGCTGCACTTGTACTAACACTAACAAACGTATTCATATGACCCCCCCCCCATTTTATTAACTGTTGATGCTAGAATTCAATACAAATCCCTTTACGCTTAGCGCACTTGTCAATTAACCGGCTTGCATTCTTCAACTT